CACCTAAGCCTCCCCAGTAGCTAGGACTATAGGCACTTAACACCACACTCAGCTAATTTTTAGATTTTCTGTAGAGACAAGTTCTCACTATATTGCATAGGCTGATTTCAATTTCCTAGGCTCAAGTAGTCCTCCCACCTTGGCCTCCCAAAGTGCTGGGATTACGCACATGAGTCACCGTGCCCCACCAGCCATCTATTTTTGAAAATGTGCTCAACAAAACCCACACTGACCAAACACACTAATTGCTTTACCTTGATCTGGTGCAGTCAGGCCCAACCTGGAGCATGACAGTTTGTGAACAGACATTGTACAGTCATGCCAGTTGAAATAAAATCTCTGAAATCACGCAAAGCCTCTACAGTTTTAAAACATCTCATTTAGCCAGTGTCTGCTACAGTAACGAAAAAACAAAAAGCTGCTTGTAGCAACCCATGTCAAGAGTTGCAGTCTCAGGCTCAGTTGTTGCCAGGCCATGCATGGTAGGTGATCCTCTCTGATTTCTTGCAGACCATTCTCCTCTACACGCCCTCTGAATTCCTCAGGGCTCAGCCCTGGACCCTTGTCACTCTCCATTCTCTCTCTAGATTACCTTACCTAAGCCCATGGTTTTACATTTCATCTATATGCTAGTGGCTCTCAGTCTTATTTCTCTAGCTTGGAAATTGTCTTCTGAGCTCCAGATCTGCATATTCAACTGACTGCCTGATATCTGCACTTGTCTGTCTCAAGGACAGTGCAAACAACACATCTCAAACCCAACTAGTGGTCTACCCTTGCCCAAATATGCTCCTCCTTTCATTGTTCCTATCTCAGGAAATGACACATCATTCACTCAGTTCTTCATGCCAGAAACTTGGAAGTCCTTCCTTATACTACTTTTTAGTGACCCCTATATCTAATACATTAGCAAGTTCTAGTGATTAAGATATCAACAGATGAGAGAGAGAGAGAGAGAGAGAGAGAGAGAGAGAGAGAGAGAGAATCTTAAATCCATTCATTTCTCTTCACCTCCACTATCATAAACCTGTACCTAGCTATTTATCATCTATTACCCGGACAGCAGTCTTTAAGTGGTCCCCACATCCCCTTAGCACTTTCCAATCCACCTCTCACAATGTAGCCAGAAGAATCTTTTAAAACCACAAAACAAATTCTTTTTCAGTCTTTTTTTCTCTCTCATTGATACATGCACATCACTTAAAACTTTTCAGACACATTGCACCTAAGATAAAATCCCCAATCCTTGACATATCCCATTCAAAAGAAATTCTCAGAGACAAAGCATTTGGAAAAAAGTTCACTCACAAAAACACTTGCAACTATTCACAATAGCGAAAACATGGAACTCACCCAGAAGCCCATCAAAAGTGGACTGGATAAAGAAAATGTGGTACATATACATGATGAAATACTATGCAGCCACAAAGAAGAATAAAATCATGTCCTTTACTGCAATATGGGTGCAGCTGGGGATCATCATTCTAAGTGAACCAGCACAGAAATAAAAACTGAATACCTCATGTTCTCACTCAGAAGTCGACCCTGATCACTGGACACACAAGCACAAAGGTAGGAACAACAGACGTTAGACATTGCTAGGTGGGGAAGAAGGGAGGAGAGATCAGGGCACACAACCTCACGGGTACCAGGTTCACTACTGGGGGAAAGAGGACTTGCTAGAACCTCACCTGCATGCGATTTACTTATATAAATCTTCATATGTATCCCTACAACTCTAAAATGAAATAAAATAAAAAATAAATAAAGCTAAGATTTATTTTATAGACTTTAAATTAATAATTTTTTTTTTTTTAAGTTGGAGTCTCACTCTGTCACCCAGACTGGAGTGCAGTGGCCACTCCCGGCCAGCGCAGCCTCGACCTGCTGGGCTCCGAGGATCCTTCCGCCTCAGTCTTCCAAGTAGCTGGAACTACAGGCGCGCACTACCACTCCTGGCTAATTTTTTGATTTATTGTAGAGATGAGATCTCGCCAAGTTGCCCAGGCGGGTCTCGAGCCCGCAGGCTCAGGCAATTCACTCACCTAGGCTTTCCAAAATGCAGGATTACAGGCTGAGCCACCAAGCCGCCCGGCAATAAATATTCATAACCTAAAAAAACTTGAAAAAGTTTATAAGTGAGTTGTCTGTTCATCAAATACACACATGCCGAGGTTATAAGGTATATAGTTAGTTGCTTCATGGTGGAAAAAGAGCGATTTTCTCATGATTGCCATATGCCCCCAGCATATCTAGATCTTAGCGTTATACAAGTTAGCAATTAAATTGTTTTTGTTAGAAAGCCAGTAACATATGGGAAATCCTAATGGTTTCATTCACTTTGGAGACTATATAGATAGTGTGACGCTGTGCTTTAACAGTTTATTTCAGAGCACAAAGTGTTTTGTTTTTCCTAACTGTGGGGTGTAATATATACACTTACTCATTTTGGAAACAGAACAAAACTTCAGTTTTGCTTTATATGAATAAAGCTGAGCACGATCTGGGTAATTCTTAAATCTTCAACTCTGGCCACTCTTCCCCTGATTTTCTATGTTCTGGCCACATAACCTTCTTTCGGGTTCACAAAGCTCTTCTTCAACATCTTGTCCCCTCTGTCTGGTACACACTTCCCTACATTCTTTACCTAGCCAAAGTTTCCTCATTTTCCCATTTGCAACTTAAATGTCACTTCCTCCAAATCCCAATCTGAACTGAGTGCCCCTATGATTCAATTATAGTACTCTGTGCTATCAGTTAGGATGGCTTTGGAAGCCAGTAACGGGAAGAACAAACATAGTAATAGGGTTTTTAATACCAGGGAGGCTTTTGGGCGTGGAGAGTAACAGTTACCACTGTGCATACTTTTGTTTGATGCTCACTTTATAAACCTTAAGATGTATTAAACAGTATTTCTTGGAAAGATTGTGCTGTGCTGTTCAATACAGTATTCACTAACCACATATGGCTGTTACGCAGTTGAAATATGGCCAATACAGCTGAGGAATCTAATTTTAAATTTTATTTATTTTTAATTAATTTAAACATTGGAAAAGTTAAAGTATGTGAATCTATTTTTTAATTACAAATTTTATAAAATTGAAATACAGGTCCAATATTTCCAATTAAATTAAGCAACTGAGAAGAGTATATAAATGTAAAATACACACTTGATTTCCAAGACTTAGCATGTAAAATTATTCCAATTTTTAAATTTTTTATATGCTGAAATGATATTTTGTGCATATTTGGTTAAATAAAATATACTACTAAAATCTACTGCGCCGGGTTCGGTGGCTCAGCCTGTAATCCCACGCCTTTGGGAGGCTGAGGTGAGTGAATTGCCTGAGCCCACGGGTTCGAGACCCACCTGGGCAGCGAGACCTCATCTCTACAATAAATAGAAAAATCAGCCGGGCGTGGTAGCGCATGACTGTAATTCCGGCTACTTGGAAGGCTGAGGAGGAACGATCGCAGGAACCCAGCAAGTCGAGGCTGCAGTGGCCGTTCCTGGTCTGGGCGACAGAGTGAGACTCCAACTCAAAAAAAAAAAAAAAAAAATCAACTGCATCTGATATTCCTTATTTTTTTTTTTTTTTGAGTCAGAGTTTCATTCTGTCACTCAGACTGGAGTGGGTTCACAGATCACTGCCACTGCTACCAAAGTCTCCACCTTCTGGGCTCAGGAGATCCCTCCTCCTCAACCTTCCAAGCGGCTGGAATGACAGATGTCTGGCTAATTTTTTGATTTATTGTAGAGATGAGGTCTTGCCAAATTTCCCAGGTTGGTCTCGAACCCCTGGGCTCAGGCAATCCTCTCACCTCCACCTCCCAAAGTGCTGGGATTACAGGCATGAGTCACCACACCTGGGAATTTTACTTTCTTAATGTGACTACTAGAACATTTTATTGCACATGTTACTGGCATTGTTTATATTGGACAGCACTGCCCTGAACATTGAAATGTTACACAACCAACAAATTCAAACATGAATTTTTTAAAAATTCCCACTTCAAGGTTTTAAGGGAAGTGGGAAGAAAAATAAATATCCAACTGGTAAATTTTTTTTCCAGGCAGGGTCTCCCTCTGTCTCCCAGACTGGAGTGCAGTGGCACAATCATGGCTCATCCTGGGTTCAGGTGATCCTTCCTGCCTTAGCATCCCGAATAACTGGGACTACAGGCACATGCCACACACCTGGCTAATTTTTTGATGTGTGTGTTTGGAGACGAGGCTTTGCTATGTTGTCTAGGCTGGTCTCTTGGGCTCAAGTGATCCTCCCGCCTCAGTCTCTCAAAGTCCTGGGATTACAGAGATGAGTCACCACACCCAGACAAATTGATATTTTCTTAAAGATAAATGTGTAACAAGGCTGAAGCTAGATTGGAGATAAAGGCCAGATTTACCCTGATGGGGTAAAACGTGGGCTATTGCAGCAATCCAGGAGAACGATGAAAGCAGTTTGGGCTAGAATGGAGGTGGTAAAGAGCGGGAGATGCTTCCGAGAGACACTTGGGACCTAAAACTGACACTGTTTACAAATTTATTTAATCAGATTCCTCTTTGACTTAGTCAAAATACTGATTCAATTACAAAATAATTCAATTACATTCCTCTATAATTTAATGAAATCACTAATTAAAACTTAATCAGTTTCTCTAATTTAAGCAAAACACTGATTACAAGTTTAATCGAATTCTTCCACAATGTTATATAAAAATCACAAATCTAGCAGATCCTCTTATATGCTTCAAAGAACTGTAACCAAAGATAAGACACATGAATTATCGCAATATCACAGAATTCATTGTAAAATTTCTATTTAAACTAGCACGAAGGTGTTACAGGCGTGGATCCACACAGTTGGGGCTAAAAGATGTACTAATGATTGGGTTGTGGAATGAATGACTGAATTACCTATCCGTAACAATCTCGAGAACAAAACAAGATTGGCTGGGCTCATCCCAGGACGCCCATATCAGTCAGAGGCCCCGCCCACCGCCTTCCGAGCTTTCATTCGGGCCCACGCAGCGCTGGACTCTGGCTTAGAAGCCGCATGTCCCCCAAGGTCCTGCAGGCTCTCGGGCCACCCACAACCGGCACGCAGACGAAAGCACCGGAGCTGTCATTTCTCAGAGGGAAACACTAGAGCCACAGGCCCATCTCGCGTAAGACACGCCCTCGCGGGGAGTGCTTCCGGGGCAGGGGGCGGGACCACCGGAAGTGGTCGGAGGCCGTCCGCAGCTCGTTGTTTAAGCGGCTGACGGGAAGGAGAAGCCGGAGCTCCGGAGGCGCCGCGGGGCGGCAGTCACGACCAGATTCCGAGCCGTCACTGACCCTCGGACGAGCCCGAAGCTAGGGCTACAGGCTGCGGAGCGGCTGGGCGAGACACCGGCTCGCCTTCGGACCCCATCATGTCGCGGGGCTCCATCGAGATTCCCCTCCGGGACACTGACGAGGTAAGTGTCGAGGATGGAGGGGGTGAGGGCCGTGAACTTGTGCGATCACCCCCGTCGAATTCGCTCGACTCCGTTTTTGCAGCGAGAGCACTCTTCTTGTCCAGGAGCAGCCCAGATCGAAATCCTCGGCCAAGCTCTGAGCACCTCCGTCCCCAGCCCCTGTGCCCTTCCAGTCCGGGAACACCGCGTCCCTGCAGCCTTGGGGTTGCTCCGAGAAGGAGTTCTTGAAAGTTCCTCTCCAGCCTGTTTGTATTTGACAGTACCCTGCTCTTGTCCTGACTGATACACCAAAGCAGGGGGTTGAGAGTGCCCGATAAACTGTAAAGACCCCACAGATTACAGAGGTGGGCGCGATGTCACCGTGGTCTGTGTGCTGCTTACCTCGGAATCTCCCTGGGAGCGTATTGGAGGTCGCGTCTGTCATGGAACACTGTGCTCGCTGCCCAGGCTCTGTCCGCGAGACAGGGAGCCCAACATTTAGCCGCTACTGTTCGCTGATAGAATTGACTTCCGCTTCCTTACCTACGCCTTATTCATGGGTAGCCTGTGGCTTGTCTGAGCAAAGCTCTCAGCTTCGATGTTGAGTCTTCTTGGGCATCTCACACTCTTATTTTTGTTTGTTTTTGTTGTTTGAGATATACTATTGAAATATAATTCGCTTACCATACAATTCAGTGTTTTTTAAAAATGTATATTCGCAAAGCTGTGTAGCTATTGCCTCTCTCTAATTCCAGAACATTTTCCTCTAGTTATTTTTGTGCCCACGTTCAGGAGTATCTGTGACACACAAATGCTGCCTCCATGATTAATGTGTGCAATGGCATTCAACTCTGTATGGCCTCTAGGGTCGTGCTCCTCAAGGAGTCAGACCTATGGCATCAGAGCCTCTAGGGTGCTTCTCTGCCTGTTATTTGTATTATACATCAAGCAGGGTTGTTTTGTTATTTTTGAGTAAGCAAAGCATTTGTGATATTTTAGAGTTCTAGTGACTTGCGGACAAGCAACTGGACAAGAAGCCGTTTGCTTCTCTGTGCTTTTCACTTTAACATTGTAGTATAACCTATTTGTCATGTGCTCCCTAAACATGAACATGTATTATTAGCTCAGTCCTCCTGAAAGTGAATGAATACGGTATACACTTTGGGTGTGCACGTTGATATATATTCAAGAAAGGCAGCAAAGAAAAAAACGCATCTTTAAAGAGGATTAAGAGTTAAAACCTACATTTTATATTTTAGGTCATTGAACTTGACTTCGATCAGTTACCAGAGGGAGATGAAGTTATCAGTATTCTGAAACAAGAACACACACAACTACACATATGGATTGCTTTGGCGGTCAGTATTCATGTAGCAAATATTTAGTATTTGTTGACTGGGAAAACATGTGGTTTCTCTTTTCTGATATAGTAATAGCCCAGGTTAGGTGCCTAATAAATAAATTATACTGTGTGTGGAAGTTAACTGTATTATCATGTGTGGAACAATTAGATCAGTTTCCTAAATGATGTGCTACTATACTGGTAAATTAGTATAGTTGGTAAGGCAAAATTCATTTAAGTTAAATAGTATTCGATATTGAATATTTGATTATTTAATGATTATTCAGTGAAGACTAGCTAATGGTTTATAGATAAGCTGAGAAGAAACAAAAGTCCTTCAGTATAAACATTACCCATAACAGTAAAACATTTCCCTTAAAATACTCTAGAAACTGATTAGATTCCAGGCAACCCACAAAAGCCCTTTTGGGTAAAGTTCATCTTAGGCTTTTGTTTTTTGTCCTGTTTGGTCTCCTCCATAATATGAATGCTGCTAGATATTATCAGGAAAATCCAGTCAGGAAGCCTACAGTTCTGTGCCCTCTACCCCCCAGCATCAGCTTCTTAATGACATTTCCTTTATATAAAAATAGGTAATGTAAATACTATAATCATTATTCATAAGCAAGTATGCTTTAATGAAAGATACAGAGGATGCTCCTAATATTATCTTGAAGGTCTAGAATTGGGCTTGTATCCAGTGCTGAAGCTGCCCTAAGAGATTCTTCCCTTTGGATATAGATTTACAGAGAAGTACTTTCAGTACTTCTCTGACAAGCAATGCCTTCTGAACTTGAAGTGCCAAGTTTATTCCATGGAAACCAAGTCATTAATCCTTATCACACATTTTTTAAAAACCAGACAGTAACTTATTTTTGTTTTTGTTCTGTTTTATTTTTGAGTTGGAGTCTCACTCTGTTGCCAAGGCTGGAGTGCCGTGGCACACTCATGGTCACTCCAGCATTGACCTGCTGGGCTCCGTTGATCCTTCTGTCTCAGTCTTCCAAGTAGCCAGAACTACAGGCGCATGCTATTGCGCCCAGCTAATTTTTTATCATTTGTAGAGATGAGGTCTCACCAAGTTGCTCAAACTTACGTTTTTTAAAGTACATATGCCTCAGCCGGGTGTGGTAGCACGCGCCTGTAGTTCCAGCTACTTAGAAGGCTGAGGTGGAAGGATTGCTGGAGCCCAGCAAGTTGAGGCTGCGGTGGCCGGGAGTGGCCACTGCACTCCAGTCTGGGCGACAGAGTGAGACTCCAATGCAAAAAAAATAAAAATAAAAATAAAGCACATATGCCTTCCCTGATAGCCTCATACAAGAATTGGGATGTTGGAAGATTAGCATGACAACTGTGGTAGAATAAATTCATGAAACATGTGGGATATAGGTTTTTATAGGGGAAAGAGTATAGGCTTTGGGGTTAGAGAAGCCTTTGCTCTAGTCCCAACTTGGCTGCTAACTAGCTATGTAACCTCAGATAAATGGTCTAACTTCTGAGCCTCTTTCCTCATTTAAAATATGGAGATGTTAATTCCTACTTTATAGGGTGGTTGTACAGATTAGAGAAAATGTGTGTGAAGTTTTAGCATGGTATGTGACCCACAGATAGTAAATGATGAATATTCCTGTTATTATAGTGAAACAGATGTTTAGGGAAGTTATTCAACAGGCCCAGGGTCATAAATAATTTTTTGGTAGCTCTAGAACCAGAACCCCTAGTTTTCTGTCTAGAATTATTTATATCTTCCATTATTGCTTTCTCTCTCAGGCTGTACTTTATTGAAATTTTTAGTTTAAAATCAGCCATTACTAGATAAGCAGACTGGAAACATTTTTAGTGATTCCAGTTTTTTTGGTTTTTTGTTTTTGTTTTTTAGTTTTATACAGAGATAAGGTCTTGCTCAGTCACCCAGGCTGGAGTACAGTGGTGCAATCATAGCTCATTGTGTCCTTGAACTCCAAGGCTTAGGCAATCCTCCCATCTCAGCCTCCCAAGTTGCTGGGATTACAGGTGTGAGCCACCATGCCCAGCTTGATTCCAGTTTTTTAAACAGCTTTAGGAACCTATGGAAGTTTAATGAACCTATGATAAACTGCATATATTTTAAGTTTACCATTGATAAATTTTGTCACGTATATACTCATGAAACCGTTAACCATAATCAGGATTGATGAATATGTCCATCAACCCCAAAAGTTCCCTCTGTACCACTCCCCTTTACCTCCACCCCTCTCAGTGCCTGGCAACCACTGATCTACTTTTATTGCTAAAGATTGGTTTATGGTTTTTAAAGTTTTATATAAATAGAATCACACAATATGTACTGGTTTTGGTCTGGCTTCTTTCACTCAACATAATTATTTTGAGATTTATCCATGTTGTAACATGTATCAATAGTTCATTCTTTTTTATTGTAGGATACTATCCATTGTGTGGATATACCATAGCTTGTGTATCCATTCAACTCTTAATCAATATTTGGAGAGTTTCCAGTGTTTTTCTATTACATATAAAGCTGCTATAAACATTTGTATTCAGCAACTGATACGGACATATGCTTTAGTGTTTCTAATTTGATCCTTTACCTTATAGCTGGAATACTACAAGCAAGGAAAAACAGAAGAATTTGTAAAGCTGTTGGAAGCAGCACGTATAGATGGCAATTTGGACTATAGAGACCATGAAAAAGACCAGATGACTTGCTTGGACACATTGGCAGCCTATTATGTACAACAGGCTCGGAAAGAAAAGAATAAGGACAATAAGAAGGATCTTATTACACAGGCCACCTTGTTGTATACAATGGCTGATAAAATTATTATGTATGATCAGGTAAAACGAGTCAAGTTTTTTTCAGTTTATGAAAGGGGAAGAAATACTACCTGAAAGCAAAATGTGTGTGACAGACAACAGATATTTTTTGAAAGAACTTATCTGCAAATAACATGGTTGATATAGTAAAAAAGATATGTCCCTCACTAAACTTGGAATATTTTTGGTCCTTGTACTGTTGAAGTAATGTGGGCAAATTTAATATATAAAATGTATCCACACGTTGAGGCAGTAATCCCAACATCTCCAGGTGAATTTCAAGCATATTTTAAGAAATTTGAACTTATCTTTTTGTCATTGTTACTGGCACAGAAGACTTACATTTCATGATAATTTCTCATTTTGTAATTAATATTGCTTATTGGTCATTTAAGCACATTACAGTTGATAGAGGAATTTTCATCTTACTCTACCTCCTTCCTGTATGGCCTTCATTTTAGTGTTACACATTCATGGTATATCAGGGGTAAAGTCTAAGATGATACATTACTTTAACAGAACCATTTGTTGGGAAGAGCCTGCTTCTGCTTACTTGAAGGCGACAAAATGGATCAAGCTGATGCACAATTTCATTTTGTACTCAACCAATCTCCAAATAATATCCCAGCCCTTCTTGGTAAGCAATCTGTGGCAAACTTCTTAAGAAGCATTTTTTCAGCATATGCCTAGAATATCTTTGCAATAACTTCTTAATAACTCAGCTGGACAGCATAGTAGTAGAGCTTTATCTTGTTAAAAATGAAACTACCAGCTAGGCATGGTGGTGGGCACCTGTAATTCCAGCTACTCAGGAGGCTGGGATGGGAGGATCACTTGAGGCCAGGAGTGCAGGACCAGTCGGGGCAGCATAGCAAGTTCCTGTGTCTTAAAAAAAAAAAGTACCAGGCTTGGTGGCTCAGCCTGTAATCCAGCACTTTGGGAGGCCGAGGTGAGTGGATTGCCTGAGCCCACGGGTTTGAGACCCGCCTGGGCAACTTGGCGAGATCTCATCTCTACAAGTCAAAAATTAGCCGGGCGTGGTAGCGCGCGCCTGTAGTTCCAGCTACTTGGAAGGCTGAGTCAGAAGGATCGCCAGCGCCCAGCAGGTCGAGGCTGCAGTGGCCAGGAGCGATCACTGCACTCCAGTCAGGGTGACAGAGTGAGACTCCAACTCAAAAAAAAAAAAGTAGATAAAGGGAAAACAAAAACAAAAAACTATCTACAACACATTATTGTTGAAATTGCAGAAATAAAATTTATACCAGTTAAGAATAATTTATTATTTACTTTCAAAGAGTCAGTAAACAATCTCTACTTGGATAAATTCAAACTATTTCAATTATTACTTTATAATATCTAACATAAAAACAGGATGTTCTGTTTATAGACATAAAATGTCTTCATGGAAAACAAATTTTAATATGAAATTATGTTCACTATTTTCAAGTATTACTGAGAGATGTATTTTAACACAGATAAGTTAATGTAAAGCATAGTAGACTTATATTCTTTAATCAGACAGTACATTTATTTTAAAAATCATTGCAGGTAAAGCTTGCATTTCTTTCAACAAGAAGGATTACAGAGGAGCTCTTGCTTACTATAAGAAAGCGTTGCGTACTAACCCAGGATGTCCAGGTAAAAGAAAACCTTTATTTTAGATCTAAGCTATGTATGACTCAACATAAAACATTAAGGAGGGCAGTTGCTTATGAAGTTAGTTGTAAAAAGGTATAGTTGAATTATTAAAATGACAGAATTGAGATTTATTTTTAGTGTTATGTTTGATTCAAAAGCTGGATAATAGATCGTATTATAATCTTTTTGTCATATGCCATTTTTCTTTCCAAAACATCATTCATTTAGCAAATTTTTATGGAGTACCAACTATGTGCCAGGCACTGTTCAAAACCCTGGGAATGTAGCAGTGAGCTAAAGAGACAAAAATCACTGCCTTCATTGAATTCACTTTCTAGTGGGGAAGATAAATGAGTAAAATATATGCTATGTAGGCTATCAGTAAGGGCTAAGGAGGAGAACAAAGCCGAAAAGGGGTGTGAGAAGCATTGGGAGTTGCTTAGAAAGGATGACCAGAGAAGCTCATCAGAGATGGTAACATTTGAGTGAAGACTAAAAAACTAACAGCCATACAGATACATGGGAGAAGATCATTTCCAGAAAGAGAGATCATAGAAGGTACAAAGGTCTGAGGAAAGAGTGTGCCTGACAAGCTAGAGGAAGACTGAGGAGGCCAGTGTATCTGGCATGGAGAGAAAGAGTGAGCAGAAACGGAGTAAGAGATAGGGTCAAAGATATAACCAGGGACTGATCGTTAGGGCAACATGAATTATTATAATGACTTCTGTTTTTACTCTTATAGTCAGGAAACCATTAGAGGGCTTTGGACAGGAGTATCATGATCTGACTTGCATTTAAAAGGATCATTTGGGGCCAGGCACAGTGCCTCAAGCCTGTAATCCCAGCACTTTGGGAGGCCGAGGTAAGAGGATTGCCTGAACCCACGGGTTCAAGAAACTGTGCGAGGTCACCAGGTGAGTGAGTGTAGGTAGAAAAGAAATCTGAGCCTGGAGCTCTAGGTCACTCTGCTATTTAGAGGTTAGGAAAACATGGAAGAATCAGCAATGGAGCCTGAGAAGGTAGCAGCCGAAGGTGCAGGAGGAAAATAGGGTCAGTACAGTGTCCTGGAAGCCAAATGGAACATGTTTCCAGAGCAAGGTGACTGAAATGTCAGATTTGTTGTTGGGCCAAGTAACATAGGGACAGGGAATTGATCATCAGATTTAGCAGCATACAAATCATTTGTGACCTTTATACAAGCAGTTTCACTGGAATGGTGGTGTGAGCGCTTCACAGGAGTGGATGCAAGAGAAAAATGGAAGGGCAGGAATTAGAGGCAGCAAGTGTAGCTAGATTGTTCAAGGAATTTTTCTATCAAGGGAAAAACAGGAATGGTTGGCAACTGGAAAGGGAATCAAGAGAAGATGTTTATAAGATGGGAGGATGTATCTAAAATGGAAGGATGAGAAGATTCAGGAGAGAAGAAAAATTTTGATACCAGAAAAACAGGGGAGGGTGGCTGGAGCAGTATCTTCAAATAGATGAGAGGGGTTCTGATGATCAGCAGAGATGTTGACCCTGAATATTGGTTTGTATTTTGGCATGGCCTTGAAGTGAGGTAGCATGTGTAAGCGTAGCTCTGAAGGCAGTGACAGTACGTGCATGTAATCAGCCACAATACTTAAGGTCTTAATGGAACTTTTGTTCTCCATTTAATAATTGCTCTTCAAAAATGAGAAGTTGAAGGAATGGTATAGCTGGGGTGTTAGAAGACAAAAAAAAAAAAGCTAGCATGCTAGGTGTTCTGTTCTATGGTGAGAGGGGTGTCCCTGATAGGAGAGAGGCTGGAGCATGATATATCCAGCCTCCGGTGAGACAAGTTTGCGGTAAGCCAAAAGACTTTGCAGTGTAGTTACACGAGGTTAATTTGGGGGATTTTATACCTCATAAATGGAGAATGTTGGCATTTTTGTAATTGAATTAAACCCTTAAAAAATGCCTGGGTTTGTATAGAGAAAAATGATTGACTTTTTTTTTATTGTCCTAATCTGACAGATTGAATGAATTGATTTTAATTTTTGTTTTGCTTTGTTTTAGCGGAAGTTCGTTTGGGAATGGGCCATTGCTTTGTGAAGCTTAACAAACTAGAGAAAGCTCGCCTGGCATTCAGCAGAGCCTTGGAACTCAATTCCAAATGTGTGGGAGCATTGGTTGGACTGGCTGTTCTAGAACTCAACAATAAAGAGGTAACTTGTAGGTGAAAAAGTTATCTAGTTCCTAGTTGATTTGTTAGGCCCACAGCCTCTTATCTAAAAGTCTTGGTGTCAGATATGTATTAGAAATTAAGATATCAGATTATAGAAAAGTAATATGGCACCTGTACTGCAAAATATGTAACACCCCAGTTATTGGGGCAACTCCCCAAAAGCAAACTTCTATTTCTGTAGCAAAATGAGTGACTATTCACAATAGGATAACCTCATAATTCAGATAAAGTGTTGTTACCTATAAGTTTGCTCCAAGACTACGAAAACATTTGTTTTTAGAGCTTTTTTGGATTTCGGATTCTCAGATAGCAGATTGTAGACCTGTATGTCAGTTTAGAATGCTTTCAGTTGCAAGTAACAAAAAGCACACTCCAGTGTCTTAAATATCATTGTTGTTATTGTTTACCAAACCAGATGTCTAAGGTTTCAGATTTGTCACTTCAGTGTCATTAAACCTAGGATCTTGTATCATTGTGTTCTCACTTAATGTATGTCTTTCTTCATCCTGTCAGTTACTCACAGTTACAAGATGGCTGCTACATCTCCAGGCATCACATTAAGACATCAGTCTTATAAGGAGGGAGGAAGAAGAAAAGATAAAAAGCATTCTCTTAGAGAACCTTGATTTTATATTGAGAAGGAAGTTCCCCATTGTGTTTTTCCTTATATATGGTCTAAAACAGGGTTACCCAGATTTCTCAGCCTCAGCACGATTGACATTTTGGGTTGGATAATTCTTTGTCATGGGGAAGTGTCTCCTCTGCTGTAGGATGTTTAGCAGCATCTCTGGCCTCTACCCATGAAATGATAGTAGCATCTCCCCAGTTGCAATAGCCAAAAATAATATCATACCCAGTTGAGAACCATTTCCTTGAGCCAATCTTTAGCAAAGGGGAAAAGATGATCTGAACTTGTGCAGAACAATCATGATTCATTGGCTGGGGCAGGAGGAAAGGGGAAGGGTATTCCATTCTGAAGTCAAAAAATATTCACAGGTTACAAAATTGATTCCATTAGCAGGGCAAGAGGGGAAAACATGGCTGTTGGGTAATCCACAGGTGCCTGCTATACCAAGAAGACTGCTGGAATCAATAAAACCAAAGGTCCCTCTGTGTAGGGGAAGTGGAGGTGGGAACTAATAAAATAGCTAAATCTCTAACAAGAACTAAACAAGAAAATAGTAAAAATGTGGCACAAACAAAATATATATTAAGGACTAAAGAGGAGACTTAATTATAAATGCAGTATAGATATTGAATGCATTCCCCCAGAACTGGAACAAGGCAAGGATACCCACTTTACCTCTCCTGTTCAACATAGTGCTGGAAGTCTTAGCCAAAGCAGTCAGGCAAGAGAAAGAAATAAAAGGTATCCAAACAAGAAAAGAAGAAATCAACTATCTCTGTATGCTGACAATATGATCTTATACTTAGAGAATCCTAAAGACTCCTGAACTTTTTTTGTTTGTTTGTTTGTTTGTTTGTTTGTTTGTTTGTTTTGAGTTGGAGCCTCACTCTGTCTCCCAGACTGGAGTCCAGTGGTATAATCACAGCTATTACAACCTCAACCTACTGGGGTCAGGTGATACTTTCACTTCAGCCTTCTAAGTAGCTGGGACTACAAGCACACGCAACCACGCCCAACTAATTTTTTCATTTGTTGTAGAGATGAGGTCTCACCAAGTTGCCCAGGCTGGTCTTGAACCCCTGGGCTCAGACAGTACTCTTGTCTCTACCTCTCAAGGTGCTGGGATTGCAGGTGTGAGCCACCACACCCAGCTGAGACCTGAAACCATAAGCATCCCAGAAGAAAACCTGGGAGAAGCTCTTCTGAACATTGGCCTAGACAAAGAATTTGTGGCTAAAACCTCAAAAGCAAATGCAACAAAAGCAAAAATAAATAAGTAGGACTTGAAATAAAAAGCTTCTGTACAGCAAAAGAAATAATCAACAGAGCAAATAGACAACCTACAGAATGGGAGAAGATATGTGCGAACTATACATTTGACAAAGGACTAATATCCGGAATCTGCAAAGAACTTAAATCAGCAAGAAAAAGCAAGCAAAAATTGAAGAGTGGGCAAATGACATAAACAGACATCTCTGAAAAGAAGCTATACAAATGGTTAACAAACGAAAAAATGCTCAAATCACTCCTTATCAGAGAAATGCAAATTAAAACCACACTGAGATACTACCTTACACCAGTCAGAAGGGCCACTGTAAAAAAAATCAAAAGACAATAGATGCTGGCACAGATGCAGTGAAAAGGGAATGCTTATATACTGTTGGTAGAAACGTAAATTAGTACAACCTCTGTGGAAATTGGTATGGATATTTCCCAAATAACTAAAAGTAGATCTACCATTCAATCCAGCAATCCCACTGCAAGGTGTCTACCCAAAGGAACAGAGGTCGTTACATTAAAAAGACACCTCTACTTTCATATTTATCACAGCACAATTCACAGTTGCAAACATGTGGAATCAGCATAAATTCCCATCAACTGATCAGTGGACAATGAAAATGTGGTATATATACACTATTAAGCCGTCAAAAAGAATGAAATCATGTCTTTTGCAGCAACTTGGATGGAATTGGCGAACACCAGCCTATGAATTAACACAGGAACAGAAAACCAAATACCACATGTTTTCATTTATAAGTGGGAGCTAAATTGAAGACCTGAAAAGGCGTAGAGAATGGTACAATGAACATTGGAGACTCAGAAGTTGGGGGAAATAGGTGGAGGAGGAAAAATCACCTATTGGGTACAATGTGCACAGGTGGGCATGGTGGGTACACTTAAAGCTCAGACTTCAAACACTGTACAGTGTAGCCATGTAACCAAAAGCCATTTGTACCCCCTAAAGCTATTGAAATCAAGAAAAAGGAGAGGGGATTAATTACAAATGCAATATAGATTTTTAAAAATTCTAAGAGACTTCTAATTCCTGTCACAATGAAATGATACAAGCTACTGGCTACCTCTCAACATAGCATGCTAATCACCCACTTGAAGTGTGCAATTCAGGTCAGGTGTGATAGCTCATGCCTGTAATCCCAGCACTTTGAGAGACTGAGGTCGGAGGATTGCTTGAACCCTGGAGTTTGAGACCAGCCTGGACAACTTAATGAGACACATCTCTCCAAAAAATAGAAAAATTATCAGGAGAGTCCCAAGAGCAGCAGACGCTCTTGTGCACTCGGGGCTCTAATCTCAGGTTGCTGGGGAGTTGCTGTGACCTCTGAGAGGAGAACCCCAGTGCATGAACTCAAGTCTCCCCTCGGACGGACTTTCACTTACCCGCTGGCACATGCCCACTCACGCAGAGAGTCTTTATGGACACTCGCTTTGGCAGAGACGCTCACAGTCTGACCTGTCCCTTCGCCATCTGCCAGAGAATCAGAAATAGAAAAATTCACTAGATGTGGTGGTGCATGCCTGTAGTCTCAGCTACTTGGGAATCTGAGGCAGAAGAATCACTTGAGCCCAGGAGGTCGAGTCTGCAGTGAGCTGTGATTGTGCCACTGCACTCCAGCCTGGGCAACAGAGTGAGAGACCACCTCAAAAAAAAAAAAAAAGAAAGAAAGAAAAGGAAAAATAGAGTTTTTTGGAGTATACTTTATTTGCCCTAGAGTTCAGCAGTAAATTACTTAAGAATGTGATATCAAGTATATTTATTTTTTGCATCTAATATTGTATGTAGAGGACAGGAAGTTCTTTACAGTGGGGGTGTTTCTAATTTATTAAGAAAACTCAATTCTGACAATTCGGTAATGTACTATGTGAAATAGTTCATCATGATGAAGATCAGCGCAAACGAGCTATATTTTGGTGTCTGAACTTAGGGTCATATAACCTTATTTTTTGTAACCTTAAAGAAAACTTTGGAAAATTGCTAAGTAACGTTTTAACTCCATCTTGTTGTGATGTTTTCTTTTAGGCTGATTCCATAAAAAATGGTGTCCAGCTTCTTTCCAGAGCCTATACTATTGATCCTAGCAACCCTATGGTATTGAATCATTTGGCAAATCACTTTTTCTTCAAAAAGGTAGGAAAAGTCATTTATTTTTAAATTCAGATTTTTGTTTTTCTGCATTACAGATGATACCTTTTTTCCCCTCCAAATTATAGTTTGTACTAGTTACCTGGGGGTGGGTACATTTGTTCTTCCATTCGTTCCCTTAATATGTATTGACCCTGTATGCCATAATCAATACTGCAATAGGGATAGAGGTGAGTAAGACATGGGTTCCGCACTCTAGGAGTTCAGCTTCATGGAGAAAACAGACATGTAAGCAAATGTATCTATAAAAATAAAGGTCTCTACCCAGTAATGAGAGAGAAATGAGGAAGTGGTTAAGTGGTGAAGAAGGGTTTTCCCCGAGGTGGCAAAGCTCTTGAACTAGGTGTTTAGGAGGAGGTCTCTGGGCAGTTGAAAGGGAAAGGCACACATCTATGAAATCATCTTAGCAGCGAGGCTTAGTAAGAGCATAGCTCATGGGAAGCGATGCATCGGATCCAGGTAGTGGGGCATCTTTGTAATGTAAGAATTGAACAGACTTGTGTAGGCGACAAGAAGTCATGGACATTTTTATTTATTTTAGCATATGAACTGTGGTGTATTTTTTAAGTTCTAATTCTGTAGAAGTGGTGTTTTAGATTTCCTAAAACACTAAATCTAAGATTTCACTGACAGTTTTTATGCAATAAGCATGAAAATCAATCTGCTATATCAAAACGGGCACCAAATTGTACTAAGAACTTTAAACTAGTTAAATAGCAATTTAAACAAAAGTTCACAAAAGTATATCAATCCTTAATAGTAATAATGGCTACAATATTGTTATTGTTATTATTAATATGCATTCAATGCTTACTTAATGATAAACACTGTTGAAAAGTGCCTTCCATTCATTTACTTATATAATCTTCACAACGATCCTATGCTATTCCTGTTTTGTGCATGAGTATGTTGTGGATGTATTAACAGTCTAAAGTCACACAGCTGTCACCCACAGTGCTTTACTCTCTCTCTGACTGCAGAGGCACCCTCTTTCATTGTGAATTCTAGATTGGGCTCTAACTGTTATATTACAAAGGGGGAAATATGTCTTCTAGGTAAACGAAGTGTTAGTTTAAGATAAAACAGCTACAGGCCAGGCATGGTGGCTCATGCCTACAATCCCAACGCTTTGAGAGGCCAAAGTGGGAGTATCCCTTGAGGCCAGGTGTTCATACCAGCCTGGGCAACAAAGCGAGACCCATCTCTACCAACAAATAGAAAAATTAGCTAGTCATGGTGGTGTGTATCTGTAGTCCCAGCTACTCGGGAGGCTGAGGCAGGAGGATCACTTGAGCTTAGGAGTCTGAGGCTGCTGTGAGCCATGATTGCACCACCATACACCAGCCTGGGTGACAGAATGTAGCCCTGTCTCAAAAATGATAATAATAAGATAAGACAGCTATACAAGCTAGTCTTATGGGTTTACTCCATTGATTTTCTGATCTTCATTCAGGATTACAGTAAAGTCCAGCATCTGGCTCTCCACGCGTTCCATAACACAGAGGTGGAGGCTATGCAAGCAGAAAGCTGCTATCAGCTGGCTAGATCATTCCATGTTCAGGTAATTGTATAACTTCTCGAAGCAGCTCATCCTTTTATTTATAGTATGTTAAGTCTTTCTAATACCTTGTACATGTTGGTCTTGCGTGATTTTTGTTTTTTAGGAAGATTATGACCAAGCTTTTCAGTACTACTACCAGGCCACACAGTTTGCCTCGTCCTCTTTTGTGCTCCCATTTTTTGGTCTGGGACAGATGTATATTTATCGAGGTGACAAAGAAAACGCATCCCAGTGCTTCGAGAAAGTTTTGAAAGCTTATCCTAATAATTATGAAACTATGAAAATTCTCGGCTCTCTCTACGCTGCCTCAGAAGACCAAGAAAAACGAGATATTGCCAAGGTACATCTTCTTAGAGACTCACCTGCTTTCTGTTAGTTCTCCCAAGCCTCCCTTTCCTGACATCGTGTTATTGCTAGTACAGCTACGATGGAAGCAGTTTCGTTAGCCGAGCTTGTTCCAGCTAGATAACAAAGAGTTGACTTTCTAAACTGGTTGAAACAGCCACCCTTTTTTACTTGGACAGCTCATGGGCGAAATGCTTTAGCTTAATGATCTCTTTCATCCCAGGGCCATTTGAAGAAAGTCACAGAGCAGTATCCTGATGATGTTGAAGCTTGGATTGAATTGGCACAAATCTTAGAACAGACTGATATACAGGTATTTTAGGACTTTTATGTCCTACATAATGTGGTTTTTGTAAGCCTGGAGTCGTGTTTCTCTTTCATTTTCACTCATACCTTATTCTGTTGGCCATGAAAATGCAGGGTGCCCTTTCAGCCTATGGAACAGCAACACGAATCCTTCAGGAGAAAGTGCAGGCCGATGTCCCCCCAGAGATTCTGAATAATGTGGGTGCCCTCCACTTTCGACTTGGAAACCTAGGAGAGGCAAAAGTAAGAAAACAGAAATATTCCCTTCTTTTATACTTGATCTAGTTGGAATGCACACCTTTTTTTAGATGTATCAACTAGGTCCTGTAACTGTAATTTTTCTTTCTCCTAGAAATATTTTTTAGCATCATTGGACCGTGCAAAGGCAGAAGCTGAGCATGATGAACATTATTATAATGCCATTTCAGTAACAACATCATACAATTTAGCCAGGCTGTATGAGGCGATGTGTGAATTCCATGAAGCAGAAAAACTGTATAAAAACATCTTACGAGAACATCCTAATTATGTTGACTGTAAGAATTTTAAACTTTTTTGTGTAATAAAATTCCTTAATTCCCGCTAGAGCAGCAAAAATTGATCCTGAAAAAAAATCTTTCTTAGAACCAATAATAAAAAATTTAGAAAGTTTTGATGTTCCCTTTTCTTTAAAGCAAATTTGTACCCTTAAAAAGAAAAGCTGGGCTTGGTGGCTCAGCCTGTAATCCCGTGCCTTTGGGAGGCTGAGGTGAGTGGATTGCCTGAGCCTGAGGGTTCGAGACCCGCCTGGGCAGCAAGACCTCATCTCTACAATAAATCAAAAAATCAGCCGGGCGTGGTAGCGCATGCCTGTAATTCCGGCTACTTGGAGGGCTGAGGCGGAAGGATCGCCAGAGCCCAGCAGGTCGAGGCTGCGGTGGCCGGGAGCGACCACTGCACTCCAGTCTGGGTGACAGAGTGAGACTCCAACTCGAGAAAAAAAAAAAAAAGAAAGAAAAAGGGGCTAGGCACAGTGACTCATGCCTATTATCCCAGTACTTTGGGAGGCCGAGGTGAGAGGATTGCTTGAACCCACAGGTTTGAGACCAGCCTGGGCAACTTGGCAAGACCTCATCTCTGCAATAATTCAAAAAATTAGCTGGGCATGTGCTTGTGGTTCCAGCTATTTGGAAGACTGAGACAGAAGGATAGCCTGAGCACAACAGGTTGAGGCTACAGTGGCCGTGATCCTGCCACTGCATCCCAGCCTGCACAACAGAGTGAGACTCTTATTCAAAAAAAATAAAATAAAAAAAGAAAAAGGTAGGCTGAGTGCTGTATCTCATGCCTATAATCCCAGCACTTTGGGAGGCAAAGCTGGGAGAATGGCTTAAGCCTAGGAGTTTTAAGATCAGCCTGGGCAACATAGCAAGACCTTATCTCTACAGAAAATAGAAAAGTTAGCAGGGTGTGGTGGTGTGTGCTTATAGTCCCAGCTACCTTGTGGGGGTGAGGTGGAAAGATCTCCTGAGCCCAGCAGGTTGAGGCTGTGGTGAACCATGATCGTGCCACTGCATTCCAGCCTGGGTGACAGAGTGAGACCCACACTCAAAAAAATAAAGAAGTAAAAGAATAATTTTTTGTAGCTAATATTTTGAAGCCAAAAACTTGTAAATGTATGTTTTCAGGCTATTTGCGCCTAGGAGCCATGGCTAGAGATAAAGGAAACTTTTATGAGGCTTCAGATTGGTTTAAGGAAGCTCTTCAGATCAATCAGGTTGGTGATATTAACTCTTAGGTTTGAGAAATAATTATTTTTACTTTTCTTTCCCCATCAATCAGTTTTTCCTTTGAATGGCTATTCTGTTTCTAGTAACCTTGGCATATTTCTGGTTTTGTCATTTGTTTTTGGCTTGTTTTTTTTTTCCCCTTCTCCTTGTTAAAATACTAAAGAATATAGTAGGCTGCATTATTAATCATGTAATAAATGGGGACCATATTTTTTTATTCAAACCTTTCCTATTTTTCTCCTTCTTTCTTCTTCCTTCCCTTTCCCCATTTCATCCCTTCACCTCCACTTTGACAAATATGACCAGACTTATGTGTCTTTTACCCTCTCTTGCTTACTTCATTCATGATTTAGTTAGTACCATATGAGAATAGTTTATAGAATCATAGTATCTTAGGATTTTGAATGGAACCATAGAGGTCATCTGAACTTTTTGATTGTAGTTCAGATGTGGTTGCTCAAGCCTGTATCCTAGTATTTTGGGAGGTCGAGGTGAAAGGATTGCCTGATCTTAGGGGTTCGAGACCAGCCTAAGCCTGGGTAACTTGATGAGACCTCATCTCTACAGTAAATCAAGAAAAATTAGCTGGGTGTGGTAGTGCACACCTGTAGTTCCAGCTACTTGGAAGACTGAGGCAGAAGGATCACTTGAGCCCAGCAGGTCGAGACTGCGGTGGCCATGAGCATGCGACTGCACTCCAGTCTGGGCGACGGAGTGAGTCTCCAAAAAACAAAACAAAACAAAACCTTTTGATTGTAGCTAGTAAGAAAGAGATGTCACATCATAGCCTTGTACACATATAACATGTGTATACAGACAACCGAAATGAAAGTTGCTCACGTCATTATTTTCTCTTCCTAGTGGGCAGTACACTGATATTTTTACTTTGTTCTATTCTATTGCATCTGTTATGCTGATTACTACACACTAAATTGATTTTATAGCTCACTAATGGGTCTCAACCCTCAGTTGGAAAACCACTGTTGTAATATAGCTTGTGAACCTCTTCAGTCGTCAGCTACTATGGAAAGATGATTGGTCTCTCTCAGCCTAAATTACAGATTTTCCTTTATATGTGTGTGTTTCAGGATCATCCAGATGCTTGGTCTTTGATTGGTAATCTTCATTTGGCAAAACAAGAATGGGGTCCAGGCCAGAAAAAATTTGAGAGGATATTAAAGCAGCCATCCACACAGAGTGACACTTATTCTATGCTAGCCCTCGGCAACGTGTGGCTCCAGACTTTGCATCAGCCCACCCGAGACCGGGAAAAGGTGCTCCTTGGGTCTTCTGAAGCAAAACTGATACTCCCCGTTCTTGTTTGAATTTTTAAAATCATGCTTGTTTCTTTTTATAGGAAAAGCGTCATCAAGATCGTGCTCTGGCCATCTATAAACAAGTACTCAGAAATGATGCAAAGAATCTGTATGCTGCTAATGGCATAGGTGATTATAAAACTTGAGTATCCATAACAATTTGTGAAATGGATGCTTTCAGAGGAATGTTAGTAACTCAGAATTTTTCTACAAATGTAATAAGTGTAGTTGCTTTCAAATAGGGTTTTAGTTTTTTTCTGGTTCCAATCAGAAATTTCTTAAATGTGAACCTTTTTATAACCTTAGGAGCTGTTTTGGCTCACAAAGGATATTTTCGTGAAGCTCGTGATGTATTTGCCCAAGTGAGAGAAGCAACAGCAGACATCAGCGATGTGTGGCTGAACTTAGCACACATTTATGTGGAGCAAAAGCAATATATCAGCGCTGTGCAGATGGTAATGTCTTTGTCTTTCAAGATATCTATATCACGTTCATTGTTGAGCAGATGTTAACCATTCTGGCCCTGTTGTGGAGCTGCATGCTATCTCTTCATGCAGTGTCTATTCAGAGTTTTATAACTATAGAATATGAAAGCTTCGTTGTCCAGACAGATGTGAGTCCTGGTCCACCACTAATTGCATGCCTTGGGCAGAGGACATCCTCTCTAAGCCAGTTTCCCTACCTACAAAATGGAAACGATTGTACCTTAACCTCAGAATTTTGTGAAGATCCAGTATGAAAAATACTTGGCACTAATAAAACGCCTTATGTGTTAGAAAATACCCAGTAAATAGTAGAATTTCATATTCACTTGTTCATTCAATTTCAGAAAGGTTAAATGACTTGTTTTTAAAAAGGAAAATCTCCATGGGGATAGATAAGGTTTCATGACTGTAGAATCGTATTATGCTTATCATATTTGTTGAGCACTTCAACTTGAAATAAAAATCATACTCAGCATCTATAACACATTACAGAGTAAAAAGACTCTTGGGCTCTGTGGGATATATTATGGTCAGAAAGAACAAGCTTCTTACAAAATGTAGAGGAAAAGAGCAGTTCAGGCTCTGGGAGGTGGTTTACCTTTTTTTTAAAAGTGGGTTATTAAAAGGATTCTGATTATTGAAAAGACACTGGTCACGGGAACTCACAGAACCCTGATTGCATACGGTAGCCTCAGAGGTTGTGTTTTTTGAAATTTCCCTTCCTGATCTGCAGAACGATAATATAGCCTTTTATAAATTTGAGTTAATTGCTAGGGATATTCAGGGAAAAGCTGTCGAACCATTTTCTGTGAAAAATATCCAAGATGTATTCTTGGTCAAAAAGTGCTATGGTCACATAAAAAATTGGTTTTACCCAAAAGTTAACAACCAGAACTGTAAGACTTTCCATGCTCACCAAATTTTTTCTTTCTTTTTTTTTCTTTTTGAGTCTGTGCCTCACTCTGTGACTCAGGCTAAAGTGCAGTGGCACACTCACAGCTCAGTGTAGCCTCCTGGGCTCAGGCGATCCTTCTGCCTCAGCCCCCAAGTAGCTAGGACTACAGGCATGCACCACCATGCCTGGCTAATTTTTTTTTTTTTTGAGTTGGAGTCCCATTCTGTTGCCCATGCTGGAGTGCAGTGGCATGCTCATAGACACCCCTGCATCGACCTGCTGGACTCCGGTGATCCTTCTGCCTCAGCCTTCCAAGTAGCCAGAACTACGGGCGCATGATACCATACCTGGCTAATTTTTTGATTTATTGCAGAGACGAGGTCTCGCTAAATTGCCCGGGCAGGTCTCAAACCCACAGGCTCAGGCAATCCACTTGCCTTGGCCTCCCAAAGTGCTGGGATTACAGGTTGAGCCACCAAGCCTGGCCCAATTTTTTTTTTTTTTTTGTAGCGATGAGGTCTGGCTATGTTGCCCAGGTTGGTCTGGAACTCCTGGACTCAAGCAATCCTTCCACCTCAGCCTCCCAGAGTGCTAGGATTACAGGCATAAACCACTGCACCTGGCCGGCTTCCACCAATTCTTAGGAAAGGTGCTAGACAGTATAACCCAAAGGAGCCAGGCATATGACTTCTAATAGGTGGTCAATTAGCTGGTTCTAGATGGTATGGCTAAAGATAGGAAAATGACTTTCCAATCCACTTATACATTTTTTCAGTCTTGTCTCAAATTTCAAATGGGGGAAAAAACAAACTAGTCCAAACATCTAATCTTTCTAATGATCAGATTTTTATGTTGTGAAAAATGTATCCTGATGAATATAAAAAATAATTTCTCAAATTACTCTCTTAAATTAACCATTCAAAGGGTGAAACACCTTCTCACGAGCTTTAAAATTGCATGCAATTTTGCTACAAAATGAAAATGTTATCCATACCATGTTGTGTTTAACTTTTTTTTTTTTTTTTTTTGGTAGTATGAAAACTGCCTCAGAAAATTCTATAAGCACCAGAACACTGAAGTTGTGCTGTATTTAGCCCGGGCCCTCTTCAAGTGTGGCAAGTTACAGGAATGCAAACAGACACTGCTGAAGGTAAAAGGAGACTCACTATTACCCTTATCCATTTCTATGCTGCACTGTATTTTTAAATAATTTTAATGCATATTTACATAGCTACTAACATTCTATTGACTAAAACCCTTTTCATGTTATGTGACCATACAAAATATCTGCTATGTTTTTTATTTACAGGCTAGACATGTGGCGCCCAGTGATACTGTTCTTATGTTTAATGTGGCCTTGGTCCTGCAAAGATTAGCTACCTCTGTCCTGAAAGATGAAAAAAGTAATCTGAAGGAAGTACTTAATGCTGTGAAAGAACTGGAGCTTGCGCACAGGTAAAGATTTTATCGAAACAGGCTTTGAAATGCTTTATTTCTTTAAAGCCATTTGTCCCAAAAGGAGCTGAAAATCACTTCCCTCAAAAGGTAGTTAACTTACTAGAACCATTCCAGGGAGGTAAACTAAAGCAGACAACTGCTGCCAGCAGGTGGCGCCACACTGTAGCCAGGATCCTGCCAGATTTTACTCCTGTCGTCCCTAGACGTGGCTGGCCAGCTTTGCCAGCTTGCCATAGCCTTTTCATTAATTTGACAATAATATGACTCAGCATTTTACGCATGTGAAGTTTTTAGACTCCTCTTATGTTGCTTTTACTTTTTACACCAGTGTGTCTTTTTATGGGATTTTGACTTTCATTGAGCTAGACTTAAGGTCTTACCTTTTAGATACTGCTTAATAGATTTACTCAGCTCAGCTCAAAATTTTTTTTAACCTTGTAGTGTTTATTTGGTAATTCATTGTGTAGTGAAACTGCAACATGACATCCCTCCAGGTTTTGTCCAACCTTATTTAAATTCTTATTTAGCTGGGCTCAGTGGCTCAGCCTGTAATCCCAGCGCTTTGGGAGGCTGAGATGAGTGGATTGCCTGAGCCCGTGGGTTCGAGACCCACATGGGCAACTTGACAAGACCTCATCTCTACAATAAATCAAAAAATCAGCCGGGTGTGGTAGCGCACACCTGTAATTCCGGCTACTCGGAAGGCTGAGGCGGAAGGATCGCCGGAGCCCAGCAGGTCGAGGCTGCGGTGGCCGGGAGCGGCCACTGCACTCCAGTCTGGGCGACAGAGTGAGACTCCAACTCAAAAAAAAAAAAATTATTATTTAACTCGTATTGCCTTATCTGATAAATTGTAAGTGCTTTTATGGCCAGAGCCCTTAGCTTCCATGCTGACATATTTAGTAAATGTAGTGTACAGTAAATATTCATTGCTTGAATTGATTTTTAGTTATTTGTGAATTTTCTGACAATATTAAAATATAACTGACTATCTCGGTGAACTTATCTTTTATTAAACATACTGAGTGGCTTATTGATGAGAATCGTTAAAAGTGAGTTGCATGTATAATTTTCCTATTGAGATGGTAGCCCTTTATACATTAAATACATTCATGTACATTAACCAATATGTAAATCTTTTCTCAGACTTTGTAGAACAGGTAAAAAAAAATCTAAAGGGCCTTATTTCATTAGACTCTTTTTATTTCTAGTAAAGTCTTTTATTTCCTCATTCCTTTTAGATACTTCAGTTACTTGAGTAAAGTAGGAGATAAAATGCGATTCGACTTGGCCCTTGCTGCGACAGAAGCCAGGTAATATTGCTATTTAGGGAAGGTGACGTTGGGTGAGGCAATGATATTGATGTGGACTGAGAGAGTGACACAGTAGTGAACAGAAATTCCTGGCTTTCCAGGGCTCAGTGTTTCACAATCCTCTCCAGGCTCTCTAACATGTACCAAGAATTTTTCCTTTTCCAGAAATTCGGCAAAGTTGATTTGGTACAAGTACTTAGGTTATTGGGAGGGGAAATACTTTTTTTTTTAAGTTGGGGTCTTACTGTGTCACCCAGTCTGGAGCACAGTGGCACAATCACAGCTCACCGTAGCCTTGACCCCTAGGCTTAGGTGATTCTTCTGCCTTAGCCTCCCAAGTAGCTGGGACTGCACGCCACCACACCTGGCTTTTTATTTTTTATAGAGACAGGGTCTCACTGTGTTGCTCTGGTTGATCTCAAGTTTCTGGGCTCAAGCAGTCCTCCCACTTTGCCTTCCCAAAGTGCTGAGATTACAGGCATGAGCCACCACACTGGCCAAAAAATGCTTTCCTATTTCACTAATGTCAGCTACTGACTCGAGCCATACGGAAGATAATGTTAGAAACCTTTCTAGCTGTGCTTTGAGAAGACGTTTATAGTTTAGAGACTTAACATAGTTGACAGTATTGATTTTTGATAAACAGTTAATTTTGCTAGTTAAGTCTTTACATAGATATCAGCTAATGGTCTTGCTTCAGAGATTTCAAGGAAAACAAGAGAAGCTGAGTTTTTGAGCAAAGTATACTAGCTGCCTTCATGTTTTTCTAACTCTGGAATGTTCTAGGCAATGCTCTGACTTACTGAGCCAGGCCCAGTACCACGTGGCCCGGGCACGCAAGCAAGATGAAGAGGAACGAGAGTTGCGGGCCAAACAAGAGCAGGAAAAAGAACTGCTAAGGCAGAAACTCCTTAAAGAGCAGGTAGCCACCGCCTGTCCCAGCTCCACGAGGATTAAAGAATTGTGTGCATGCACCTGGTGTGTCAGCACGTCCTCTGCTGAGGATGGGAGCCGTGGATTTTTCATCATAAGAACCTTTTGATGGGGTTTTTTCCTACATTTTTTCCTCACAGGAAGAAAAACGTCTTAGAGAAAAGGAAGAGCAAAAGAAACTTTTGGAACAGCGGGCCCAGTATGTGGAGAAGACCAAAAATATCCTTATGTTTACTGGTGAGACCGAAGCAGCGAAAGAGAAGAAGAGAGGCGGTGGTGGCCGGGTGAGATGCGATTCCCGCCGGCGTTCGTGGCGTCAGCCCCGGTCTTTGGCTTTTAGAAATGAAGATAACTGGCTAAAACACTCTGCACTTAGTTATTAGTTTTGACTTCCTCCTTTGCTAAGAGACAGTCTTTCAACACAGAATGATTTAAATTGTATCCATCAAACTAGCCGGGCGTAGTAGCGCGCCGTAGTTCCGGCTACTCGGAAGCCTGAGTTGAAAGAATCGCTGGAGCCCAGCAGGTCGAGGCTGCGGTGGCCGGGAGCGGCCGCTGCACTCCAGTCTGGGCGACAGAGTGAGACTCCAACTCAAAAAGAAAAACAAAAGAAATGCATTCCATGCTTCTCATGATGGCTTTAAGGAGAAAAGTATAAAGTAAAAATAAAATGCATCCCCAGGTTAGTTAAGTTTGTGTTACCTTGTTGTGACCTCTTTAAGTAGTTGATGATTTTTGCAAAGTTTTAGCCAGTGCAACATTCATCTCAATTAGAAGTCTTCAAAATATAGGCCCAGCCAAGTACTTCTTCTGTGTGACTTAGTAAAAGATCCTGTATTTGTCAGATCACTGATAGAATATAGCCTCTTTCTATACCTTAGTGTTCTAGTCCACTCCACCAGCCAGGAAATAACTGTAGTCTTGTTTGGATTTTAGCGTTCTAAGAAAGGAGGAGAGTTTGATGAATTTGTCAATGATGATACCGATGATGACCTCCCTATATCCAAGAAGAAGAAGAGAAGAAAGGGCAGTGGCAGCGAACAAGAAGGCGAAGAGGAGGAGGGTGGCGAGAGAAAGAAGAAAAAGAGGAGGAGGTAGTGTCATGCTTAATGTGTTTTAAATGACTTTACAAAAGTGGCAGAAGGCCTTTCACCTCTGAATCTAGAGCTGGTGAACACCTGTTAGTTAATCACTTGATCTTTCCACACAGTGAAGCCACTGCTTACTTCTTTCTTTAATCCTAAGATAGACCCCATTACAGACTCCCTTGAGTGCTTGGAATTTCCACACAATTCCTCAGCTCTCCTTTTGAGAATTGAAGTTAGTCATAATTGCCTTTCCTGTGCCTCTAAAGTTATATTTACTGGAAAATGTATGCAATTTAGAGTGAGAAGATCTAGACTACCTGTGCATGTGCAATCTTGAAAAAGTCACTGAACCTCAGTTTCCCCTCTGTAAAATGGTAACTGTAATGCCCACTTCATGGTTTTGCTCAATGCATAAGATTGATTGGCAGTTCCTTTTAAGCCACCCAGTGCCATCTGCTGTTAAGTCCGGGGTGCCCCGCCCATCTTGCACACGGAGATGCCCCTAAACTGTCCGTTCCTCTCTCATGGTGCTTCCCTGTCCAGGAGCCTCCATTCAGCCATCTTACCCAGGCCTGCCCTCTAACATCCTTGGCTGGCTCTACTTAGGAAGGAACCTGATGGACTCATCCAAACACAGACCTGGGACTTGAGCTGTGATGAGGATATTAGCAGCGGGCCTGGGAAGGAAGGAGGAGGAGGAGAAAAGTGTTGAGGTCTGGAGTGTGGGTCTTTTCTCACCTTTATCAGTCCACCAGTGCAAGATTCAAATGAAGATTAATGAGGAGCTCAGCTGTGACTAAGTGAGTCAGCAGACAGTGCATAAATACGTGGTTTTTGTGGACTTCTGTGCCCTGTACAGCAAAAGTCAGTTATGACCTCTGCCCTTGAGGTGTGTACAGTGTGAGTGAGGACAGCACCCATGTGGAAGGGTATTCAGAATGAATAATAATTTAATGGCAAAGTGGTCTTGGACTTTATAGGCATGAGTAACTCTTGACAAACTCTCTCTTGGTGTTCACTGTTTAAGACCTCTAAAGGGAGAAGAAGGCTCTGATGATGATGAAACAGAAAATGGCCCCAAACAGAAGAAGCGCCGTCTGCCAAAAACAGAGAAGAAAAAGGCTGTAAGTTTCTGGTACTGTGTTTTTCTGTCCACGAAAGACATAAAAGATTGCAGTACACAAGAATACATTCTTTCCCTGCAGCTTTCTCAAGCACTAATGCTTGTTTTTAAAATTTATTGGTGGCTGTTTGATTGTATCAGTATGATGCAAACCCAATTTAACAAGGTATCCTACTGTAAGAGCCTTGACTAATCTATTATGTTTGACTTTCTTTAGCCCAAGCCAGAGCGCCTGCCTCCTTCAATGAAGGGAAAAATAAAATCCAAAGCCATTATATCATCAAGCGATGATTCTTCTGATGAGGATAAACTTAAAATTGCTGATGAAGGGTAGGAATTTTTTTCTTGGTAAATTCTTCTAATGATATGGGTAAATCAAAAGTGACCGTTAGTCAGCCTATCAGTACTAGGAAAAGCAGACTTTTCTTTCTTTTTTTTTTTTTTTTTTTAAACAAGGGGGAAACAGACTCTTGAAGATTAGAGGAAACAGAAAGATACCTAGGAGTCGTCCCTGTGCCAAAGTGTCCTGTTTCCAGCTTCTTAAAGTCACATAGCTAGAAGAAACCTTAGCAGACATCTTGTTCTAGCCCTGTCATTTTGTCCTACTACATGTTTCTCCTGAGAAAACTTATTTTGAAATCTCATTTCTTTATGGATACTAGCTGAAATGTCCTAGATGACATTCTCCTAAATGTATCGTTTTGCTGCCCTACTACTGACTGACAAGGAGTATCATGACTCATTCTGGTCATGTGGAGATAGGAGTTTCTTGAATGTTTCCTTCCTTGTTGGCAGTGGTAAGCCAACTCTGCCTGCTCCATGAAGGGCTTATCCTAGACTGCCTATGCAGGACTCTCCTGTAGTTCATGGCCCATTGGGAAAGCAGCACTTGATTTCATTTGTCCTAAACTTGGCCTTCCAGCTCAAGTTGTCCCCATTTGATTCTTACACTAGGTCTCTTAATACTGTGCTACGCCGTGTTCCTCTAGAGCCATTGTCTCATTCATTCATTCAACAAACATCCATTCTGTGAGATGGTATAAGTGCTTGGGATACAGACAAAGGCACAGACCCATAAATTTCCCAAGGAAGTGTTGCTTTAGTGCAGTAGAGAATAGTGGATAAACCAAACCACGTGGTAGTGGGAAGCATCATCACTTAAGTTGTACACTTCTTGTGCTCCAGGCACTAGGCCTGATCTGAGTTTGGGTGATGGTGGGTGTTGTAAGAGTTGGCTTTAAAAAAAAAAGAAAAGAAAGAAAGGGTGTTTGAGTTGAATTTTAGGAAAAATCAGGAGTCCTATTTGGTTAGAGGCAGAGGTTAGTGTGTCAAAGAGGCTAAGGATTCCGTGGGGGACTGGCCTTGTAGGGTAGAGGTCTGTAGAGAACCATCTGGAAAGATGTGCAGTTCCCTTTTGCTCTGAAGACACTAACACAAACTGGGATTGTTTTTCCCCAATGCCATGTTTTTGCTCTTGCCTGCACAGTGCTGCTCTGGTCTGCTGGTGAGAGGCATGCATAGTCTGTGTGATGAAATATGTTTTCAAGGAATGAGCACTGTGAGATGCGTAGGCAGAAAGGTTCAGTGTGAGAGGCTGAGCCGCTGCCAAACCTGTACTTGAGATCAATGCCAAGTTTATTTGGGCCACTTGCATCAGTTAAACTTTGTTCTTATTATTAATGTGAAATATATCGCACAGAACAGGACACAAAACAAATAGCACAGAATGCATACCTGGGTCACCATCCAGGTCACGAAATGGAACACATGTGAAATGAACCTTTGGTTAAAAAGAAGCAATAGTACACCAGACGCCCTTGTTTAAAAGCATGTGCTCGGCTGGTCCAGGCCCATTAGCCAGAATCCTCCCTCTGACCAGCGCTTGTCTTTGGCAGACATCCCAGGAACAGCAACAGCGACTCCGACGAGGATGAGCCGCGGACGAAGCCGGTCTCATCGGAGAGCGACTCCGATGAGAACCAGAACAAGTCTGGCAGCGAGGCGGACAGTCCCCGAAGGCCCCGAAGACAGCACTCGGAGGAGGATTCAGACAGCGACCAGCCTGCCAGAAAGAGGAGACCCTCAGGCTCGGAGCAGTCCGACAATGAGTCCGTGCAGTCCGGGAGGAGCCGCTCGGGAGGGTCCGAGAACGACTCGCGCCCGGCTTCTCCCAGCGCGGAGTCAGACCGCGAGTCGGAGAGGGGATCCGACAATGAGGGCTCCGGCCGGGGCTCTGGCAATGAGTCGGAGCCAGAAGGGTCCAACAACGAGGCCTCTGACCGAGGCTCCGAGCACGGGTCAGACGACAGTGACTAGGCTCTGTTTCACAAAGAAGCTTCATCTCCGGAGGAAACTTTTTAATATGTGAAAACTGTCATGAAAATGTTTCAGATGTGTGGTCAATTGTGAAATTTTTCTTAAGGCAATTTTTTTCTATCAGTTTGTATATTACTAAGCTCCAAGCGACATTTCCTGTACTAGAGTCCAATATTTGAGTCTCGTACAAATGAGACTATTCTTCATTGTGGTACAATTCTACCTATCATATGTGAAAACTGCAGTAAAAATAAACCCAGATGCTAAACCATTCCTACAAGGGGTCTGCTGAAACTGTGGCAGGTGTCTCATCTTCTTTGTATGTTACAGCATACTGTTTGGATTTTTATTGCAATCTTTTACCAAGTGGTACACACACTGGGTATTCATGTCTTTGTTCCATTTCTGAGGTTAGATTGAGAATATTTTTAGTTTCTGGAGGGAGAGGTATCTACTGTTTAATTGCACCAAAGTACACATGAAAGGAAGATTTTCAACAGTATAATACTGCAGTCATGTAGATACAATCCAAATATATAATTTGCTAGGTTGAATAAGGTATGGAAAGATGCTTTTCTGTCAGTAGAATACAAAAACCTACCTAAGCCACGTAATAAAATTCTTTTACCAACTTTTATGGGTAACTCTGAGTCATTTTTGGCTTGATACATTTGCACATGAAAATGTAGAATGAATACATTATGCAAATATTTGGAAAAACCTGAATTAGGCTGAAGGTTGTTTCCTCAAGACTTGTAATTCTTTGCGGATTTGTGGAGTTGTTTTTTAAAGATGCTAGAAAACTAAGGCATGTGTATGAATTTTTGTTTTCAGAAATTTAGTAATTAACAAGAGTAAATTTTTTTTTTAATTGGGGTCTCAGCTCAGGCAGTCCTTCCACCTCAGCCTCCTTAGTAACGGGAACTATGGGTTCACAGCACATCCAGCTTATTTTTTATTTTTTTGTAGAGATGAGGTCTCACTGTTTCAAACTCCTGGGCTCAAGCAGTCTTCCCACCTTGGCCTCCCAAATTGTTGGGATTGCGGGCATGAGCCACCATAGCTGGCCAACGAGTAATTTTTATGTAGCGTTTTTTGAGAGCTTTAATTATGATAGCCAGCAAGTATTATTAAATGCACTATACTGGGCATTGAGTTGAAAATACAGAGATAAAATGCCCTTCCTGTCCTCTAATGCTGAAGATACGTGCATAGTCCCTGTGGTGTGAGAAGCAGGGTAAAGATGTTTGCACAGGTTGTGGGAACAGTTCCCAGTTGGAGGAGGAGCCAGGGCAAAGCTTCTGGAAGAACAGGAGTCCTGAGGTGACTTGAAGGCCTGTCTGGGAAGAGAATTGCAGGAAGACTGTTGCGGGCAGTGGGAGTCGCACGTGCCGCTCTGGGAACTGGAACAACAGTGTGGTGTCCAGGCAGACACCCTGTGCTGAGCAGTGGTTTGTTGAACTTGCGTGTGTCGTGCCACGGGTGACAGTGAGGTTCCAACCTGAGTGATCATCTCCTCTCTTTCCTTGCGTCTTCCAGCATATCATGTACTTGAGCTGAGTTAGTTCATCCCCAAATGACAAGAATCCATCCAAGTGAAAAAGCATGTCCCAACGGATGACTCACTCAAACAATAACTACACAAGAGGATGTTCATGGACTGTCCCTTGGAAAGCCACGTACGGAGTGACTCCACCTCTTGTGTCTAGTGATTTCCCCCGTGGTGTCTCCTGCACTGGGTTTCGGCCACAGGTCCTTCTGTGTGCGTGTCCCTGTGTGCCATTTTTGAGTCCGTTCTGCCTACCTGTCTGTGCATCACCCCCCCAGGTGCGTCCCCAGATGCAAAGAATAGCAATATCTCCTGGCCACCTTGCCCATACTGGAAGCCACTGTGCGAGGACACTGCTTCCTTCTGGGACTGCAGTTTGGAGCCTGGACGCTACAGAAGTGGCCCAGGTGTGGGGAATGCTCCACGGAGGAAGAGGAAAGCCCTAGTGACAGAGGGAAGGTGACCGGCCTGTTGTTTTTGCTCTGCTGCTGCTGCCCTCAGGAACTCACAGAAGCTCTGCCCAGCTGTCCTGGAGGTAGGCTCCTGCCTGCGTGTCAGAATCAGCCTTTTGTCCTTCGGTGGAGATGGAATCAGCAGGAGAAGGTAGCATGGAGTAGTTGGTTAAGGGGAGAGACGCTGGGATCCCAGAATCCTGGATTGGAATCTCACTCTGACACTGACCGGCTGTGTGATCTTAAACAAGTTACTTCCCGTAAATAGGCCTCATCATCCTCACCTAAAACAAGCCATTTCACTTCTGTAAGTTTTGAAAACCTCAACTGAGTCTGTCACAATTAGAGAATATAATTTCCATTGTGTTTGATGTTAATTCAAGCATCACAATCATAAAATTAGAGCTGTTGAATTTAAAAACAGGCCAGGCGTGGTGCTCACACCTGTAAAGCCAGCACTTCGGAAGGCCAAGGTGAGAGGTTTGCCGGAACCCAGGGGTTGGAGACCAGCCTGGGCAACTTGGCAAGACCTCACCTCTACAATAAATAAAAAAATTAACTGGGCATGGTGGCGCAGGCCGGTAGTTCCAGCTACTTGGAAGGCTGAGGAGGAAGGATCGCCTGAGCCCGGTGGTTGAGGCTGCGGTGGCCATGAGCGTGCCACTGCACTCCAGTCTGGGTGACAGAGTGAGACTCCGATTAAAAGAAAAATTGAGGCCAGGCTCCGTGACTCAGCCTGTAATCCCAGCACTTTGGGAGGCCAAGGCGAGTGGATTGCCTGAGCCCGGTGGTTCAAGACCAGCCCAGGCAACTTGGCGATACCTCATCTCTACAATAAAATAAAAAATAGCCAGGCGTGGTTGCACGCGTCTATAGTTCCGGCTACACGGAGGGTTGAGGCAGAAGGATCGCTGGAGCCCAGACGGTCGATGCTGGGTGGCCGTGAGCATGCATGCCACTGCACTCCAGCCTGTGCAAAGGAGTGAGACTCTAAATAAAATTTTTTAAAAATTGGAAACAAGTGTTGCTGAAATGAATACAAGAAAACCCATTTTAAAAATTTATGTATTTGTTTATTTATTGTTTACAAACTCTTGTGTCAAGGACTGACTTTCTTTTTTTGTTTTTTTTTTTTGTTGTTGTTGTTTTTTGTTTTGAGTTGGAGTCTCACTCTGTCGCCTGGGAGCGGCCACTGCAGCCTCGACCTGCTGGGCTCCGGCGATCCTTCCGCCTCAGCCTTCCAAGTAGCCTGAACTACAGGCGCACGCTACCACGCCCGGCTGATTTTTGATTTATCGTAGAGATGAGGTCTTGCCAAGTTGCCCAGGTGGGTCTCGAACCCGTGGGCTCAGGGAATCCACTCACCTCAGCCTCCCAAAGCGCGGGATTACAAGCTGAGCCACCGAGCCCTGCTGAGGACTGACTTTCAATAGATCACAGCGAAGGAACTGCTCTGCTACGTAGGAACCCTGACCCAGAAGCAGGTCTTCCATGAATGATTTAGTGCCAGATTCCCCACAAACGTGCAGTGTGCGGCAGGCGACATTTCATTTATTTTTATTTCGTTAGCTTTAGGGGGTACAAATGGTTTCTGGTTACAGTGAAGAAGTCTGGGCTTTACGTGTACACATCACCCTCAACCATGCTCAGGTGATTTTTCATCCCTCCCCTCTTCTCATCTGAGTCTCTGGTGTCCACTATACTAATCTCTATGCCTCTGCAGACCCTCAGCTTAGCTCCCACTTGCAAGTGAGAACATGTGGTGTTTGGTTTTCCATGCCGTTATTTCACGAAGGATGATGGTATCCAATTCCATCCAGGTTGCTGCAAAAGACACTACTTCATTTTTTAAAATGACTATAGCATTCCATGGTGTATATATACCACATTTTCATTATCCTCTGATCAATTGATGGGCATTTAGGTTGACTTTGATCTTTGCGGTTGTGAATTGTGCTGCGATAAACATATGAATGTAGGTGTCGTTTTGGTATAATGACCTCTGTTCTTTGGGTAGATACCAAGTAGTGGTAGATCAAATTGTAGATCTACTTTTAGTTCTTTGAGAAATCTCCATGCCAATTTCCATAGAGGTTGTACTAATGTACACTCCCACCAACAGGGTATAAGTGTTCCCTTTTCTCCACATCCGTGTCAATGTCTACTGGGTTTTGATTAAGAAAAACCATTTTATGCCAGGCTCAGTGGCTCAGCTTGTAATCCCGCGCCTTTGGGAGGCTGAGGTGAGAGGATTGCCTGAGCCCGTGGGTTTGAGACCCGCCTGGGCAGCGAGACCTCATCTGTACAGTAAAATCAAAAAATCAGCCAGGTGTGGCAGCGCATGCCTGTAATTCCGGCTACTCGGAAGGCCGAGGTGGAAGGATCGCCGGAGCCCAGCAGGTTGAGGCTGCGGTGGCCGGGATCGGCCGCTGCACTCCAGTCTGGGCGACCGAGTGAGACTCCAACTCAAAAAAAAAAACAACAAAAAAAATCTTATTATTCTGAATCTAAAACTGTAAACTCCTCCCCACACTGAAATTATTATTTTATAATTGGTTTTTAAACAGACTCTTCCATTACAGCAAAAGACTACGCACCCAACGCATAGTATTGAGAGGATTGTGAATTAAGGCAGTAAGGTGATTGAATTTCCAATACAATTATCCATGTGAAGGATCAGTTCTGAATTTTTGGCACTATTCATCAAACTTGGTTTGTCTGGGCTAAGTGGGGACTTAGGGCAGTTACTCTTTCATAGATCATCCTTTTAAAAATTCTTTCTTCTTCTTAGTTCCCTTTGAGAAAAATATTTTTAATCTCCAGGAAACGTGACTTTCCCGGAGCTTTTAAAGTATCCCTTGTTTTGATTCCACTAATGAACAATTTCCATCCCTGGAAGCATAATTAACAAAAGATGCAAGAAAGAACTTTTAAGGCAGAATAATACCTGCTCCAAATGGAATTTGGAGCATATGATATGATCAGTGAGGCTTCTGTCCTAAAGGTGCTTTTTGATGCTCTGGTCTTTCGAGTGTGTTAAGTAGTATGGATTGAGGCAGTGCTCCCCAAAAGAGCATCATGAACACAGGAAAGGATATATTGAGACAGGAGCAGTGGCTCACACCTGTATTCCCAGCACTTTGGGAGGCTGAGGCTGGAGAATCATTTGAAGCCAAGAGTTCCAGACCAGCCTGGGCTACATAATGACACCTGTCTTTACGAAAAAATTTTTAAAAATTAGTCAAGTGTGGTGGTGTGTGCCTGTAGTTCTAACTACTTGGGAGATTGAGGCAGGAGGATTGCCAGCACCAAGGAAGTTGAGGCTGTACTGAGTTACGACTGCACCACCATACTCCGGGCTCTGGGTAACAGAGAAAAACCCAGTCTCAAAAAATAAAAATAAAAAAGGGGGACTAGATCTTTGATGATATGGGGCTGAGCAAATCAACACTACAGCTGCCGTCAGAGTCTCATTTTGCCTCCGGCCCCGGTGATAGTAAGACAGTCCAGCTTTGAGCCCAACTCTGACATACGTTATTGTGAGAAATTGCTTCCCTCTCCAGCCTCAGTATCCCTATCTATAAGATAAAGTCGTTGGCAACCCTTTTAACATTCCAGGGACTTTCCAGATCATTC